GCCGCTTCACCCTGCCATCCTTGCCTTCGTCCCGCTCCTGCTCCCCTCCACGCCAGCGCCGAGTCACGGCTCATCGCTCCTCACGTGCCATCCACAGCCCTGACGCTGCGCGGCTGAACCGAATGGCTTCTGAGCACTGCCATCCTACACCTATTGCAACGAATCACGTCAGCCCGAGCCGGTTGTCTGCCGGTCGCGGGCGATGCCGGATTGTATCCGACAGACGGCCGCAACGCATGCCGTGTCATCACGGGTCTGGCTGCGATACGGAGCCGGCACCTAACGAGGGGTTACGGCGCTACGCCCCGCGAGGTCTGCAGTCAGGGCTGCTCATCTGAGCGCAGGGACGTGTTGATGGATTTATCACTTCTTTTATAGGACCAAAAATACCCCCCCCCTCCTTTTTTTTTATGTATTTTTTTTTTTTAACTAGCTGTATGGAAATCTTGCCTTTATGTGGAATAGCCAGAGAGGCAATTAGAATATAAAAGGAAATGTTATAAATACGTTATGCAGACTTTTCAATTCCTCGAGGTCTATGACAATGATATTATTTCTGGTGGCTTACAGCTGATGAAAACTAAGGGGGGCTCATGCTAATGCTCACTAATGAGAGAGCTATTTCTTGAAAACAAGTTTTATGCTGCAAAGCATAACACAGCTCAGAGGGCAAAGGGCAGGTCACTGACATACCAAGAGACTTAACAGAGAGATCGCAGTTGTTCGCACTTTGGGCAAAAGTCACCGAACAACTCACAAAGAATAATGCTATCAGACTTCAGGGGATCCAGGCTGGCATCCTGATTTTGATAAGCTCCATGTCTGCTAATACTGCACATTCTACACATTCAATATTTTCGAATTATTTTTAAAAGACTGAAATTAGCAAAGATGGAAAGAGTCTCTTTTGGTGCCAACTCGAACATTTAAAGAGAAAGCTAAATGGCTAAATCCAAACAAGCCACATGTGGAACCAAGGTCACCCCCAGGTGACATTGCTTCCAAAGGGACAGAAACAGAGGTTGGAGGGCTCAGCACCGACTTGGGCCTGGGAAAGCTGAGCTTGGTTCCCTGCTCGGTAATGCCTCTCGTGCACAGACAGTGAGGAACAAGGCTCCTCCACCACACCAGCTCCATGCGTGTCAGACGGTGCAGGAGCACTGCCGTCCCCCTTGAAAGCCAGGGAGGAGATAAACATGGAAACAGAAGGCAGAAGACCTGGGGGTCACGTAAACCCTTTCATTATTTTAGCTAAAGCTATGTCTTCTTAAAACCCTGCCTGTTTTTGCCTCCGCTACTTTTTTGAGGACTGTTGATAAAGGCAAGCGACAGCCTCAATACTGTCGTAATGGTACCAGAAGCACACAGACATCAATAAACACACAGCCGGTGCTGTTGGGTGTCTGAATGCTACGTGTTTCTTGCCTTTCGTGTAGGTACAGACATCAGAAATCCTAACAGCATAACAGCAGAACTTTCAAAAAGGCAGCCAGTGATACCTAGTTGAGAAAACCCTTCTATGAATTCGCCGGTGGCCACAATAGCGAAAAGCCTCCAGTTCTTCAGCTTTGGTAAGTAGCAAGGAACTGGGACCAGCAAATTGTTCAGGTATTTAGAGCAGTCTTGGCTTGCTCACTGCTTGCCCCTGCCCCTCCGACAGCCTGTGCATAGCACATGCAGGTACCTGCAGGAGGTAAGGCTCAGGAGAAGCAATTTCCATTTAACCATGTTTTTTACTCCGAAAAGGATGAAATGAACAGAAAAAATAAGGGGACTGTGATGCAAATGGCAGTGATTTACGAGCCCCCCCTTTTTTTTTGGAGAGATTATGTCAGGCTTTCAGGGCTCTGAATAAGCTACAGGAGCCCAAAGGGAGGGAAAGAAAAAAATAAATCCTTATATCTAAAGCACCAGGGCTCCACACCAGCCCCAAAATCTTGCTTTGACCGCATCACCTGCCTCGGCAGCGGGGTCAGCCTGAAGCTGGAGGTGCATTTCCACCAGCAGCCACCCCGCTGCCGTCCCGGGTGCCTGCGGTGCCGGACAGGCGAGGCAGCGTCCCCGCGCTGACGCCTGTCATCCTGTCAGCCCCGACCTCCGGGCTGTCCCCGGCATCCGAGCGCAGCCTCCCCGCACCTCCCCGCTGACTGCGAGCGACTGGTGTCTGGCCGCCTGACCTTACACAAACGCGATGCAAACAGACAGCCCACCTCAGCTCCATCACTGTCTGCCGCTAATACCGGAGATTGATAGCCACATGGAGTGCTCTCCCTGCTCGACCTTCGTTACTGGGTGGCATATTCTGACTGACAGCCAACCTCCTTCTGGAGAAAGCTGAACTACCCGACGTTTGTGGTTTTTGGTTGTTTTGTTGTTTTTTTTTTTTTACTGTCGAAAAGTGGAATAACTTCCTCTTATGGAGACAATCAAATCAACACTTTCTTGGGTTGGACAGAAAAAAAAAGAAGCCTTTGTTAAACAGAAAGACATCTCCTGACTTGAATCTGCTGGGAGATGCTGTCGGATGCGGTGCTGGGTGCTGTCCCAAGCACGGGCACGTTCCTGCCTCTACAGAACACATGGGAACTTTTCTGCTCTGCAGTGAGCTACAGGTCTGCGGGGCAGAGGATGGCCCCCAGCTAGCCCTAAGGTGATGAGCAATGCGTGGACGTGGGAGGTGGGAGGAAGGGACGCAGTGAAAGTGAACCCAGCTTTACGCACACCCCACAACTGCCCATGAGCACCGCACAGATAAATACTGGCTTCCCTGTGTGCTCTGCCAGCCAGCTCTCCAGTGCATGATGCAAGTGGCCTAAGCAGCTTTCCGAAAAGAAATCACGACTCTTCCACTTCGCCATTCAGATTTCTGATAGTAGAAACAGAAGACACGGAGTCACATTTTCTCCTGCAGACCCCCTGCGGTTCTTTATGGCTTCCTGGTGGCAGAGGCCAGGAAATGCAGCACCCCGCTGTCCTCCACACCAAACTCTTGCCATGTGCGCCCACGGTCCCGGGGAGAAGCGCGATGCTGCAGCCCCACAATGCTCAGGTCCCGACCGAGAGGGAGCACGTCCCTTCAGCTTTCTGGCCTGGAGTCAGCCATCGGCTAAAGACAGCTAAGTCAGGGTGAAGCACATCTTTCTTTTTTTGGAATATTTTAACCAAATTTAACAGCCCAGCTGTCCATTTGGAAGCACCTGGCTGTGTCCCAGTGAGGCACAGCCACCACCCACAGCTCCAGGGACCAGCACAGGCACAGCACTGGGCTCTGCGCATCCCATGTAGGCTGGAAGCAGGACGGATTCGCCAAGCTCTCAGCTCTCCAGCCCCAGTGGGAAGGCATCCCCATGGCACCACCAGATACCTCCTGCCACTGACCCGATGAAGAGGAGGCTGTGGTTGTGCTGGACCCTGTGAAGAGGCACACGGGGTAGCTGTGACCAGCAGCCACCCTCCTCTCCATTACACACTCCCAGAAAGTGGGCTTCGAACCAGGTGGCGTCCCCAAAGCAGCCTCCCTCCTGACTATGGATGGGAGCTTTATGGGCAGCCAGGTCTGCGCACAGTCCCCTGAACATGCCGGGAACACACTGGTCCCTGATGCCTGGGGGACAAGGGCACCCAAAGGCATCCCAGCAGAGGCTGACCCTGGCTGCTGCAGCCCCGCAGCCTGCCCAGTGTGCTCGGTGACCGAGGAGCCCGGCGCCAGCTACAACGCACTGCTGTGCACTGCGCGCTTCGCTTACCTTTTCGGCTCTGGATTCGGCTGGGATTTGGAATCTTTCCTTTTTTTGGACTCCTTTTTGGAATCCTTTTTTGTCTCCACTTCAGCGGCAGAGGCATGAGACACTTTGCCCCCCTCGCCGTCTGCGCTTGGCTGTGACCCGCCAAGCAACTCTGCCATGTGGTGGCTTTGGGGAGTGATTGGGACAGGCGGGGGGAGGCCAGCAGCAAACGTGGAAGAAACAGAAAAAAGCATGAAATAAAAAGCACAAAACAAGACAAAAGGAAAATAAACCAAAGGCAAACAACTGAAATCAAAGAACAATTGGCAAAGAAGGAACAAACGAGCAAAAGAAAGTCATAACTAAAAAAGAAACTAAGGAAGCAAGGACTCGGTTTCCATGACAAGATGTATGAAACTAACTGCAAAGCAAGCAGCAGCCTTGCAACGTGAAACCTGGGCAATGCGTGTCATAAATCAGGGTGCTATTTACCACAGGGCTTATGAAAACACATAATTATTTTATAACACTCCTTTCTTCAGCAGCATTTGCAGGATAGAGAGCAATATCTCCAAGTGTACAGTGCAACTTAGCAGAAAAGACAACAAAACCAAACCAGAAAAAGAAGCTGCAATACATACCACAGCTGTCAACGAAATCAATAGGAAAGGGAAAAGCATAGCTCCGCTCCCTACCACCAAAGATTTGCCACATTTGAGAGAAAGGAATGGGCTGCTTCTGGAACTGGAATTCCTTTGCAACAGCAGCAAGACAAAATTTCCAATTATGCCTAAGCATAATTGCATAATGCCCAAGGCTGACGTCAGGCCGCCTGCCGAAGAGACAGAGGTGCCCGAGGGCTTCGAGCACTTCTGTGCACTGAAGTTTGATACTACTGAAAATTTCACTGCTGCAACTTGTCAGCTCCTCTCACGCAGCAATTAAATCAGCGCAGTATATTGTTTACTTCCATTATATTCAACCCGTGACAGTCACATGTACGTCAACTCTAGTTTGCCCAGAACTGCATCTAGCAGGTGCCTGGGTAAGAAAGTTAAAAACCCCGATTTCTGGATCCCCTACGTGCATTTTTCTTGCTTACATTAAACAAGCCACGAAACAAACAAACAAACCGACTATGCCACTAGAAGCGCTGCTGCCAAACATCCAATGTGAAAACAAATTGGGGACTGTTGTGCATTATCCAAGGAAACCTATATCTGACAAAGTCATCCCTTGCTGGCAGGGAGCTGCTAGCCAAAAATAATTCCTTACCTGTTGCCATGAACATGTGATGCACAAAAGGCAAAGCTGTAGTGAAGTAAGGTGGGGTCAATCATAGCTCCATTTTCTGCGCGCTCTAGCAAATCTCTGAGGTAGCAGAGATGTCTGTGACAGCCTCTCACTCCATTACGTGCACAATACTCATCTAGCACAAAGACCTGGCCAGGACTAAACCAGCCCTGTTTAGAAATAAAGAGACTTGATTTTAAATATAGGTTATTAAATACAAATGCTATCAGCTGTGGAGGTGTAGTGGTCAACTGTTCTAATAAAGAAATACAAACCTAAGGCTACATTAAGGAAAAAGGAGAGAGGTCACTCTTAAACAATACAGTCTGCATATCATCACCTAATCACAGCATATACTCAGTGCAACTGTTAACAGAAATACATTATGCTACCATTAACACAAAATGTCATTTAAAATGCTGAAAAGTGAGGCCAGTTCATGTCAGTGTCTAGCAAAAAAAAAAAAAAGGAAAAAAGAAAAAAAAAGATTCACACCTTTAAAGAGATGACAAAGATTTGATTATTTAAGCAACATGAAACAGTGATCTCATTCTGGGGAAGGGACTGCACATTTGGCCAGGACGGAGAAGAGTGATCTGGGGGAGAACAGGGAGGATTACACTGAACAACGGCTTCTCTTGCATCTGGCACGTAGGCACATCCTGAAGACGGAGGAAGGCAGCTCCACGGCATCACACGGGGACGTTTCACATCATCCTTGTTGTGTACCCTCGGCGCTGCGCTCTGAGATCGCCCACCAGCCGGCAGGTCAGTGCTCCTTGGTGTCGCAGCAAACATGAGCTCGGCTCACGGGCACGGTTTCTTTACACATCCTGAAACCTCCAACGACTGCTGTCTGTGAGTCCTAAAGGCCTGGTGACACACGGTGCAACGTCCATGCTCCCGAGGAGGACATGGTGCCCTGTGAGGGGACGGCACGGCGCTCCGGCGAGTGTCCCAGGACAGCTGGGGCTGAGCGCGCCTCTGCCTTCAGCGAAGGCGCTAGTGAGAACGAGAATATTCTTGTAGATCGTAGATTTTCAAAATGCTGCAAAACCGTCAATATTTACATGGAAATTTGGGTGCTAAACAATTGCTAAGACGCAGCTCTGGAATGCATCAAGCTGCAAAATCTTTCATCGTTTAATTGAAAAGTTCCTGCAGCGGGCGGGAGAGTAGTTGAGGCAGAGCACTGCCCCTATAGGCAACTTCTTTGCCACCCCATCTGTTACCCCAAATGCTACATCTTAGAAACAACACTGCTGTGAAAGATTAAAATATATTTTCTACCACTCAGATGACACCAAATCTTTTCTAGATGCCAAAATAGCTGCTTTGAAAAGAGTTGAAGAAATATCAATTAAGAGCTCAAAGACATAGAGAAGGATTTGCTCATCCTTATTGGGCCAACTCCAAAACAGATTGAGAAAAGAATTAAAATAATGAGGGGAAAATGATAGATATAGGGAGTAGCTACAGTTCTGGGATCACTGGAAGTGCACATTTCAAAATGAAGACACAGAACAATGCAGATGGGACAGCACTCTGGAAGGCTATTTTTTGGGAGGGGTATATTTGCTTTCACTGCTTTTAGTGATATTTTTGTTTGCTTTTTGGTTAGTGGTATTGTGCTTGATTCTGGACTTCTTTATGTTGCCTGTTTGCTACATCCTTGGACCTCCTCTTCACCTTGTGTCTTTTCACACAAGTCTTTGGTGATTTGGTATGATAAAAATATAGAAATGCTGCAACTGCTCTGAAATAAAAAGATGTGTGCATTTGGTTACTGGGGTAGAAATGAGGTTTAAATTCTTCTATTCACATAATATATATACAAAGGACTTTGTCCTTCCTACAGGGTGAAATCTTGGCACCACTGACATCAGTGGGAAGGCTGGCACTAACTCCCCTGGAGTCAGGCATCAAGCCTGGAGTTTGGGGTGAAGGAAACAGGACGCTACACCTGGTGAGCAGGAGTGCTTCTCATTGCTCCCCTGCACCAGGCTCTGAGAAGTGCTGCTCCTAGGTCGGACAGAAGGGACTGGGGCAAACACTTAAGATCGCTCCCATGGCTCAGCAAAGGGAAGCCTGAGCAGAAGCTCAGAGGTTCACTAATAAACCTCATACCTTGACACCTCATGAGAGCACACCCAAGGAAACTACAAGTAGATTTGGAGCCCAGGAAGACCAGAAGGTTTCCTTTTGCATGGCAGAGGTATGAAATAAAAATCCTGAACAGAGCTACAAAGGAGCCATAAAAACTGCTCCCCATGGACCCAGAAAAGAATTTAAGGTTTGAATAAAAGGCTGTATTCAGACAAATCCCCCACATCTTTAGGCAGATCCTGGCTCTTGATTAAGATTTGCCTGGCACAACCAACTGACAACCAGCCAGTCTGGCAAACGCAACTGATAGTGACGCACGGGGTGTTTCAACCCAACACAGCTAGGTGTAGCTCAGTTTGGGCTCCCAGATGGTCTTCAGTGGCATGGAGAAATGTAGAGGGGACATTGGAAGAAGGCTGTAGAGTGCAGGGAGCTCAGCTGACTGTTTGAGAAGCTGATCTGCATTGAGATGATGCCATGTGCTCCTGGCCCCAGTGGGGAGTGCAGTGGGAGCTTTTCAGCTAGGTAAGGCAAGACTTGGTCAATCACTGGAGATTTTTCCAATGCAAAATGCAGTTTCTGTGAAAACCAGGATTTCTGAGAAAAAAATTTCACTTCTCAATAGCTGTATTTTCTCATTTACCAGGGGAAGAAACAGACAGTATAATTTTGGTAACCTGCTTTCTGGGCCTTTTCATGTGACCCCTTCACGCATCATCTCTGCTAGACCGGGCTCTCCAGAAGACCACCTCTTGGTAAATGCGGTGTGGTGTGATATGAATCCCACAAATACTGACACATCGTGGGAAATACTGCTCCAGTAGGCATCTCGTTGCACAAGCCAAATGCTGGCAGTAGGTTGGGATGTCTTGGGAAGAGTTGAAGGGCAGTCTCAGAAATAACACGAGTGTCCGAGCAGAAATCCATGCATGTGTGGGGTTGGTATTAAGCTGGAAGAGCTGCACACTCTTTCCCTATCAGAAAGTCCAGGAAGAGCTGTAAAAGCAATTGTGCATTCAGCTTGAGGATGATGGGCAAGAGCCTCGGAAAGCAATGCCGACGACGCTCTTCCCCTTTCCCAGCACGGTGCTCTCTGCCAGCAAACATCACTTCTGCACTAGCTGAGATTAGTCAGACAGCCTGTTTGTTTTCATAGGGATGCCTGGCTCAGCCAGCGAGTGGGCTCACAATAACATTGTTTAACCTGGTTCCACGGAAAGGAGGCAAAGCTGAGCTATTCTCTGTGTCAGGGTAAGCCACCGTGTCTGGCTAAGTCTTCCCTGGCACTTCCATGTCCGCAGCAGAAAATAAGACGTGTGACAAGACAAAACTCTTCAGGACCTTGCATGTGAACATCCTGTAGGAAGAATAACAATTGCCCAGCAGCACACAGAGGGGACAAGGCAGGCTTACCACAGGCTCCCAGCTCATACAGGCAAGCCAGCACAAGGGTATCACCAGCTTCCCACAAGCACCTCAAGAGCAGAGGGGTTGCACTCAACTTGCAGTTGCACTCAAATTTTGTGGTCAGTCTGATTTAGCTTCAAAATTAGGACAAAACCATACTAAAATAGAGTAAAGAAGCAGGTGAGATCCAAGAGGCGGTGAGCACAGCCCATTATTCTCTTCTTCACAACACTCTGTAATGGGTGATTTGAAAGAAGACGGTTAATTGGTGATGCTCTGCTCTGAGGAGGCACAAATCTTGGTGCTGAGGGGAGCTCCATCACTCCATTAGTTTCTAGCAAGGGTCTAAACATCTTGATCACAAGCAGAAGTATGGCTGGTGGGTGTCTTGAAGAGAAACATTATTAATAATTTCCAGTGGCGGCCTCGTGACTCTCCTTCAGCCATGACTTTAATTCAAAGGCCTCAGCTCTCCCACCAGGCCCGAGGCTGCACAGAGACACACCAGCTGCAAGCCAACCTGTCAGGCATGCATGGATGGGGATGGTCTTCCTAGTGCCAGCCATGCGTGGGGAAGCAGAAGCCGCATGCCAAACCCACTGCCTGCTGGAGCAAAGACCTCGATGGAACCAGTGAGAAACTCGTGGCAGGTCAGCCAATGCTCCCACCGAGCCTACTTGTAGCACCTGGGGATCTGCAGGTCAGGTGCACACTGCAGCCTTCCCCCAGCCCATCCTTACCTCAGGGGACATCCACAACCGCTCCTCCTTGCCCTGCCTCTCACTAGGAAGGTGATAACTCACTGCTGCTGCTGGCATTTACGGGATCTTTCTGAGATCAACCCTTGTGTGCGGTGCAAGGAGCTGAGCAGATGGGAGGAGCACCTGATGGAGGGGCACTTGGAGGACAAGGTTGGAGCCTGACAGGCTTACTGGCTCAGCTGTGTTCTCATTTTGCTGCTTTTAATGGAAAGCCACTCAACTGGGCCAGCTCCAGGAACTGCACAGCTGGCAAAAGGTGGAGACTACCAGCATGGGGTGGTCCTTCTGCTGAAGAAGCCAGTGATGACACCCCAGTATGGAGATTTCTGTGCAGCATGAGGAGGGCAGCAGGTTGGGATCTGTCCCACGCCTTTCAGGCCTCATCCAACCCCTCTATAAAGGTTTCAACCTGTTATTTTCTCAAAGACTAAGAGTTTCTTCATTCTTCTCACCAAAACCACTGGAAATTCAGTGTTCAAGTTGTAGTGGTGAAGGTTATTTGTCATGTAAATCCTCTCACTGCCTTGCAGCCCCCAAGCACTGCACCACAGCCAAAAACTACAAGCTTTCCTGGAGCACCTCGGTGCCACCAACATACAGAGCACGTTGTATGGCAGTGGCCTGAGAGCTGCGACCTGTGCTCATGGAATAATCAGGATGGGCATGCGACTGCGTGAGCAAGGACTGACCGCAGGATCCCTGCAGTTATCCACCTAGTCCCACCTGTTACCTGCTCGGGATCCCTGCCCATACACAGACACAAAGCTGGGCCATGGCTATTCCTGTAGTGACTCCACTGACATGGGAGGTGGTACCAGACCTTCATCTTTCCCCTGCAATTTCATCCATAAGACTCTGGAAGGCAGCATGGGAAGCTGCAAAACACTGCTTCTGCTCTCTACTGCACGTCCCCACACAGGAGTTTGTCTTTGCAGGAGGAAACATTTTAAACATTGCAAACAGAAATGATAAAGACAGTGCTACTGGAGAAGAACAGCAGTCAGATCACTGGAGGTAGCCTCCCAAAAAGAAAATACCTCTGGCCCAAATTCAAACCTGGTGTAAACAGAAGTCAATCTTCCAGCAACAGGGGGATTAGCCCCCACTCGCACTAGCTTTGACTTTGCTGCTTGGTGTTTATATCACTAGAGACCAAAGAATATACTTGCCAGACAAGAATAGGAATCATTAAGTCTGTGGTCCAAAGTGAGGCGCTGAACCATCTCAAAGAGTGAAGCGTGGTCAAAGTTACAGGGATTGGAAGAGATAAATTCATCCATGCCATGCTTTTGAGCTCTATCTGCATCTGTTCATTTATACATATAGAGAAAGACACCATTTAGAGAGATATAACATATTTCAGTTGACAAATACAACAGAAAAATATACAGTATGAAGCATGAAAGCTAAATATCTCTTCTTCCCTACATTGCCATTAACATTTCTCTTTGCAGGCTACATATACGATCTTCACCTCCCATTGTCAACTTGCATCAGTTATGGACGATCTTATTGCATTTAGGCAAAAGATTTTAGAATTAACATCGTGTCAACTGGCTCGTTATAGTGCATTTATTCTGTACTTAAAACCAGAACACAAACCAAATAACTTACTCTGTATCTTACAATGCGCTATCAGTTAACAGAGTTTTGGCTCACAGAAGTAAATTAGTTCCTATTTAGTTAGTTGTGGTTAATTATAATAGATTCTGCCATTCTAGTGAAGTTATAGCTGTAGCATTTTTTCTCTAAATTTACTAGGTTTTCTAGGTATCAAAACATTTACATTGTTCTTTTTCCAAATGCCAATGTTTGCCTCCCAGGGCAATTTTTTCTAACGGCAACTTTAAATGCTACCTCCAAGAAATAAAAAGACGCTCTTTTAAGCATTGCTAATAAGTTAAATTGATGTGTAGTTCGTTATCACTGAGGAGGTAACCTGATAGCACGCTGGAGCTGCCAGTCATCCTGACAGGGACACGATTTCCTCTGCTTGGATTACGAGCTGCCATTTTTTTTGTGAATTAACAGCCTCACCGTATTCACACATCTCTGCTTTGGGTGACGTTTACAGGCACTAACTCCTAGGGGCTAATTAATTAATCTCAACATGGTTAACTAAAAATACACCAAATTCACCGGTTGAAATGAAGCCGCCGATGCAGCCTGGGTGCGGCCAGCCGGGACCCCGCTGGGAGCAGGCTTTGTTCCACCAGCGACCGGGGAATTAAAAGACACCTTTCACTCGGTTTTGTCCGTGCTCAGCTTCCTACTATATGGGTTCTTGCCAAATCCTCGACAAATAGAATGGGATTTAAATCCTTCCCCTGTTTATAGCCTCCTAGGGGAACTGGGTGGCCTTGAAACAATGTGGCTGAAAGGACACAAAAATGCAGTTTTCTGCAGTAGTACTAAAAGGTAACTGTATTTGTTTTAAAACAAAATCGCTCTTTACCAGAAGAAACAGAAATCCTTAATTAAAAAGAAAAGAATAAAAGGAGCTTTAAATGATAATGAGATAGCATTCTTTTATGTATGTTTTATTTAACTATTTATATTAATCTGTGAAGGATGGCATGGCTTCCTAATACCTCGTTCATGTCTGTGCTCTCACATATTGCTGATCATTGAAAGCAATCTTTGCATTTTCTGTATAGTCTGTCGTTAGCTATATACAAACTATATAAATAACATCACCCACTGGAAGGAAATCAGACAAATTAAAACATGTAACATTTCAATTAGCTGCTAGCAATACTTAATTCAGCAGTGGCTGGCAATTTTCCTCATTAAAACCCTGCTGAATAAACGCTGTGTATTTTATTTTTTTTTAAAACGGGTTCTACACTTTTTGAGGGTCCTTTCCTCTCTGTCGCTTCATGTAATGGCTCCTGCCTGCCTCCCCTTTGCCTCTCTCCCTCCGGTCCCAAATCCCCCCCTCTGCCTCCGCCGGCAGGCTCCGTGCATTCAGCGCAGGGACAGGAAAGCAGCCGGCGGTGCCGAGCGAGATGGCAGCAGCAGGGCTGGCTCTGGGGACGGGGAGAAGCTCCCTGGCCACAGCATCACCTCTACGGCACAGACAGTCTCTGGCACCCTTGGGTGGAAGGCATGAAGCCCACCCAGCCCCGGGTCTCGCAGCAGCAGGCCGCATCCTGCCCGTTTCGACAGCTTTCTGCCCGTTATCTCTGTCCCTTTGGGCCAGGATCGATCTGATGGAGCTCCCAAAGAGTTCGTCTCTGCTGCTCCTGAGTCCATCCCTAGCGCCCACAAAATGCTTTAGCAGATATTAAAAATAGCCTGATAATGGATTGTTGCTCTCCCGGGTTCCTCTGAGTTGACTGCAAGCTGACAAATTGGCTGGAGGCCTTAATTTGCCAGCTTCACTCAGAGATTTTATTACTTTTCAATTAGGAGCCCTGATACACTGTCAATCCTCTTGCTCTGCAAGCAAGGCTCTGCGATTTGAGTAAATCAGCTGGAAACGTGAAGAGTCCCCTAGCCCTTTAGCTGGTGAACTTCTCTGAGCAGATGTGTGAGGAAGCATGTTGGAAATGATTTTTTTTTAACTCCAAACTAATCAACTTTCCCCACTTTGTGCTCTCAGAAGAAGGCGGACACAGAGCACACCTCTGGGTGTGTGAGTAGGCCGAAGCTCTGTGGTGCTGGTGGAGCAGAGGCTCTGGCTTGTGCTTGCTAAAATCTCTCTGCCCAGGGTAGGTGCAAGGAAAATTTCTGGCAATTGCTAAGAACAGGCAGAGCACTTGACTGGCCTTCACAACTGCCCACGCTCAGGGGATATTTTACTTGTGGGCATCACCGTGTTGGATGCCTGCTGGAAAATCCCTTTTCCCAAACCTCCCCATCTCAGAACAACCACGGAAGAGGGAAGGTAGCAGGCATGGCACCGCATGAGCCTGCAACACCAAAATGCTTTTCAAGGAAATATGAGCAAGAACTCTGCTCAGTTGGTGATTTAAAGTGTGGTTTTCTGACATAAAAAGGAAGACAAACAGCTGCAGTTCCCCCCACACCGGCTCAGTGCCACAGATTCCGTGTCTCCAAATCAACTGGGATAAACCAGGCATGGCTGGAACTAGAGCTGTCTTCACAGGACGATGACACACACATATATTTCTCTTCAATGTCACACCTGCACCGGTCTAGAGGCTTAAAATTATCAAGAATAGCTAGGAGAAGGTTAAAAAAGGACAGCACTATGCTAAACTTAGCTTCTCCTTAATTATTAGAAGATAAACACATAATTTGTAATTTATTTTTGCATTTTGATTTTTCTAAGGGACTCACTTTTAAAAATGAAATTTAAATATCAAATAGGTACCAAATTAGGTACCAAAAATAGGTATCAATTTAGGTACCAAAAACATTAAACTTCCTAGAAAACACAAAAAGACAAGGATAGATCTAAATATATTGTTCCTCCTACTCCAGACAGCTGATCTGTGATTTAAAATAATCCTGACATCTGCAATATAAATTTTATCTATAATTGTCCTCTTTCAAAATGGTTTGTCCAGTCTCATGATATTTTAAATAAAGTACAAAGTGTGAGTGGCTAATATTCGTACCCAAACTGTACAGCTAATTTGTAAGTACTTTAAATTAATTGTTTCAGTCAAATACAGCTGCTTTTTTGACCCTGTTCTGTTATTCCAGTCAAAAAGAAAGGAGAGACCAAAGAAAGAAAGTTATATGATGCTCCAGTAACTTACAATCCCTTTCCAAGGTGCCGTGCCAAGCTAGCTGGTGCTTCTTTGTTCAGGCCCCAGACAAAATGCTGCTGCAGGCCTCCAGAAGTTATCTTACATATTTAGACAAGCTGCACACAAGTGCAGCTGAAAGGTGTTCGATGGTGGTCTCAGAAGGGAGGCTGCGAGGAGAGGTAAATTGGCAGCACAGACTCCACAAACCTTTCTTCTTGAAAACTACAGACTCCGGCCTTTTGTGCAACACTCGGGGGCTTACATTATTGTCTGCTCTTAACTACTGCCTTTTTCATTTTGTTCATCTTTATCCAGTTTGCGTTTTCCACTGACTCCATTAACTAGCCCTCCGCCAAACACGCACCCTGTGCAAGTGTTTGAAATCAGACCCTTCAAGGTTTGCCAGTGTCAGGAACACAAAGACTGCAACAACAACAACAACAACAATGAACAACAAAGGACTGTCCCACCATTTTGTCCTACGTCCTCTCTTCCTCTTTATCTAGCTGTTGTTTAAAAAGGAAGAGACAAAACGGTCAAATATCTCATTCTTGTTTTTTTTGTCTGTTTGTTTGCTAGTTTGTTTTTAAATGTATTTCACTGCTCTCTGCATTTCTTTGGCTAGAGTAATAATTTTGGCAGATTTTGCTCTGCGAGTGATGAAGTTAATGTTGGGGGACAAGCTCCATAAAAGAATTCTTGTTATAAAAGGCTGTAGGTAGCCATTTTATTGTAAGAATTTTTTACTCCAGATTTCTTTCTTTTCGTTAATGAATGACTTTTAGTACCAAAGGCAACTTAAAAATCCAGTAAATTTTACGACGTTTGTTTATTAAAACAAAAAACAAAACCAAAAAAAAATAAAACCAAAACCAAACAAGTGTAAATTAAAAGGTGACTTTGTATCTTACTCATCTGGAAAATGTGTGCTTGTCATATCTGCTTGACATTACAAGAATGAAGATGTGGTTTGGACAGTAACAAACAATGACACTAGTCAACCTCATCAGGAGACATGAAATAAAGGAATGACAATGATTGATGGCAGCTATTCATTTACAGATACGTCTAGAAAAGTCTTCACTGGCATGGTCGGGCAAGTGGGAGAAGTTCTCCCGTCCCGGGGGCGAGGGGCGGCGGCGTGCCCACCCTCGACTGGGTGCTCTAAGGGGCGGTGAGGTCCCCTCGTGCTCTGGCTGCCTGCACAGGGCTAGCTACACGCTCGGGCTGCAACTTGTGAAAGACATTCAGAGGGGAAGAGCTTGGAACCTCGTTTTGTTTGGCCGTGTGGAGTGAGAGGCTTTACGAGCAGATAGCGGTGTTCTGGGGGAAAGATAACGTGCCGGGCTTCAAAATGCCAAGAGCGTTGCTTACGAGCGAGCTGCTGGCAATGATGGCTGCTGACTTACCCGTCCCCTCCTCGGGTGCACCGTGGCACTGCCACGGCTGAAAGGGGACCGTGCGTGTCCCAGGCTGCGCCCCCTGCGCACAGCACGGCAAGCAGCATCGCGGCGAGCAGCATCACGGGGAGCTGCATCGCGGGGAGCTGCATCCCAGCGCCGCCCTGCCAGCAGCCCCGGCTCTC